GGGGGCGGGGAGAAAACCCTCAGAAAAATCAAATTAACAGCACTTTAAAGGGAGCTGAAAGCCAAGCAGAGGACTGCAGGCTCGTCAGCCTGATGAGAAAAAACAAACCGTCAGCTTGAAAGGCGTGCTATCTTATCTGTAACTAGTGGGACTAGAAAAGAGAAAAGGCAGGGAAGAGATTGTGCCTTTTAATTAAAAGCAGATCCTTTTATCTGCCAGCTGTGGAAGACAAGACACCATCCCCTCCACCAGCTCCCTCCCCTCTCCCTGTCACCAGTGCCATCCGCAGGCGTGTGCAGGGATGGGGAATTTGGGGAGCAAAGGGGTTTTCTTTCTTTCTTGTTTTCTTTCTTTCTTTTTTTCTTTCTTTCCCTTTTTTATGATCTTGGGTTTGGTGCCTGCTCCATCCACAGCGCCCGGGCTGGTTGTGGCTGTGGCTGGCAGGGTCGGGGCCTCAGGAGCCAGCACAGGGGGATAATGGGCAATTAGGTTTTATCAGCAGGATCATACAAGGAATTCTGTCCAATTTCACAGCATCCGTCTGTCACATAATGAAAGACCGACTGCCCGCTCACAGGCAGCTCTCACTACCCTTCTTGCTCTCTTTTCTCCTGTTCGAAGAAACGGAGGGGAATTTCTTAACTGGAAAAATCCCCAAATCCCACCCAAAATGAGTTTGCTTCCTCTGACAAAGCAGCTTTGCCTGTTCCCATTCCCCCTCTGGAAGGCAGCAGGGGAAGGGTGGGAGCACACTGAGCCTCGGGACAGTTAATGGTTGGACTGGGTGATCTTCACGGCCTGTTCCAACCTGGATGATTCTGGGATTCTGGGATGGTACAAGACCCTCCAAGACCCCTACGGTAACAGCACGGGGATCCCTCACCTTCTTTGCACTCCAGGGCCACCCGGGACTCCAGGTTGTCCATCTGCAGCTGGAGGCGTTTCAGGGTCCGGTCGGCATCCCGGGACTTGCGCTTGTAGGCGATGAGGACGATGATGATGATGAGGAGGAGCAGCCCTCCCCCGCCGCCGATGCCGATGATGGCGGGCAGGGTGAGCAGGCTGTCCGAGTAGATCTGCAGCGTCCCCGGGGAGAACTCGAACCCTCCAGCCTTGATCTGCACCATTGTGGGGGAAAAAAAAAATGGACCTGGTGTCAGGGGGATGAGGATGAGCCCAGGGCAGCCCTCCCCACTGCGCGGGGAACGGGGGATGACTCCCAGCCCGGGGCAGGAAGGATGAAGAGCACCACAGGAACGGCCGGAGCTGAGCACAGCGCTTCTGATGAGAGAGTTTGATGTCTCGTTCAGACAACATTACAGTAACAGATGGGATGTGAAGAGAGTTCCCCCACGGGTGGGGAGCCTGGGGGGGGACCATGCTGGGTCCTTTTCAACCTGGCGGGGTCCTGGAGCGTGAGCGCTGCTGCGCTACAACCCCCCAAACAAAGGAGTCCTCCTCACGGCGTGAGCCAGCAGCGGGGGGACGGGGTGGGAACCCCCCCTTGCCTTGGCGCCCAGCAGCGAAGGGAGGCTGTTGGCAGGACCAGCCAGGGCACAGGAACTGAGCAGGCCGGGGAGGGGACAAAGTATTTGGTCCTACCAAAGACATAATTAGGGAGAGCGATGTCCAGGGAGCAGGAAGATGTTCCTGTGTGCGCACCAGCTATCTGGTCCTCGTCGGGGAACCAGCGCCGGGTTAAAGACTGAACCTCTGTGGCACGTGGGACATGAGAAGCAAAGGCACCATGTCAGCACTTACGGTGACTTTGTGCTGGCCGGTGAGGTTGGGGGACTCGCAGAGGAGCTGGGTCTCGGAGACGGTCAGGGTGCAGGGAGTGTCTCCGATCAGCACCGTGTAGTTCAGGCGGGAGTTACCAGCAGCCGGAGGAAGCAGGTTCCTGCCCTTTGAGGGAACGAGATTGTCAGTTCTACTGCAATGGGGAATGCTTAAAATAACCCAACATCAAGCAAATTCATGCTCTCACAATGCAGGACTTCTCCACCTCCGCAGAGGGACACATCCCTACCCCTCTGCCCCTGGGCGCACGCTGCCTTACCTTGAGAATGAGGGGGGAGCTGGGCTTCAGCTCCAGCATCCCCGTGGGGCTGAGGGGCTCAAAGACAGGGTCTGGGTAGTAGATGAAGTTGGTGGTGTTGATGATCAGCAGGGCCTGGACGTTATCCATGACAAAGCCGATCTCATCGGGGCGGTCGCCGACTTCCGGAGGGCTCCGCACGGGGTTGTCGATGGAGGGCGCGTAGCACACCATGGTGGTGTCGTTGTAGACGGTGCAGTTCTGCGGGAGGCGAGGACAGAGGTCAGACCCAGCTCCCAAAAGGGAGCTCAGGACCAGATCTCACAAGGACATGGGGTTTAGACTTGGGATCTTCTGCCCTGTGCTGTTATATCCCGCCCCGGGGCAGAGAGAGACTCCTGTCTGCGATGGATGTGGAGGGGGGAGCAGGTCGGAGCTGGCTGGGGATGGGCTCTGTCTGTCACTACCCTGCAGCCGTCCCACAAACCCCCCCTCAGTTCTGCACGCTCGGATCTCAGCCCTCTCCAGGCACCACCTGGCCGGAGGCTCTGCAGGGAGATCAGTGCGGTGGCAGCCCCCAGCCCTCAGCCTCTCCACACCCCGATGGGCAAGGAATGCGCATTCTGCCCTGCGTTGCACAGCTACGGCACCCCTCCTCCTGCTGCTCTGCCCCCCGCCCCAGCCAGCCCCACTTACATTCTCCCTCTCAGAGCTGCAGTACTTGGCGCGGATCCTGGGCTCTTTGATGGTGGCCAGGTTGGTGCCGGTGACGGTCAGCAGCGTCCCACCGCTACAGACAATGCAGGCGAGGGGTTAGGAAAGGCAGCGCAGCACTGGGTCCCCACTTCGGGGAGGGAAGCACCCACCCTCGCCAGCTGGACACCCCTCTGCCCCAGCACGGGTGAACCACAACGCCCTGGGAACCTCTTATCCCACCCAGACGTCCCCACGGCTGGCAGGATCTGGCGTGCACCCCAGCCAAACCATCTCAGCTGATCAACTAGAGATAGAAAATCTGATAATTAACACCGACGTCCCACCCTGCGTCCGCGTTTGGGGCCTGAAGGCAGTTCCCAAGCTAAAGGAGACCCGCAATGGGAAAGCATCCCGAGGAGGAGGAGGAGGAGGAAGATGAAGAGGAGGAGGTCCTCTGTGCCCCCCCCCCCTCCACCACGCGGGCCGAGGGCAGGCTGAGCCCTGACGGTTTTTCTCCACGGTTTGGTGTTAAAAGCCCCGCGGTCCCGGGGAGCTCGGCCGTGCCCCCGGGGAGCTCGCTCCTCATCAGCACCCTGGGGAAGGTTTCCCTTGGCACTAGCTCTTAATGGATTCCTTCGCCTTCTCTCCAGCCAATTCAAACCTTTTAGAAAAATATGTAAACATTTAAAAAAAAAATAAAAAAATCCCCCGGCGGGAAATATTTTAATTTTATTTGTCGCCGCCAAATGTCAAGCTGAAATTAAGCAGATCCAAAAGCGCTCTCTGCTCTTGCCCCCTGCCAGGCTGAGCACCGCAGGCCAGGACTCAGCAGGGCCCCAGCGCCAAGCCATCGCTCACGCTCCTCGTGCCACGTCTCCGGAGCACGGCCTGGTGGCTATCGCAGCCACACTCGTGGCTATCACAGCAGTTACTGGTGGCTATCGCAGCCGCACTGGTGGCTATCGCAGCCGCACTGGTGGCTATCGCAGCAGTTACTGGTGGCTATCGCAGCAGTTACTGGTGGCTATCGCAGCAGTTACTGGTGGCTATCGGAGTCGCACTGGTGGCTATCGCAGCCGCACTGGTGGCTATCGCAGCCGCACTGGTGGCTATTGCAGCAGTTACTGGTGGCTATCGCAGCCACACTGGTGGCTATCGCAGCCGCACTGGTGGCTATTGCAGCCGCACGGAGCTGTACCCATCCGGAGGGGGGGATCCGTGCAGCAAACAGCCCCCGACGCGTCCCACAAGCTCCCTGCGGGCGTCCCACGACTCACCTGTTGATGCTCCACTCAGGATCAATTTTCTGGATGGTGGGGTCCTCCGTGTAGTTGTACTTCACCTCCGGGTTGCTCAGCTCTGCCCGGTTGATGTTGATGAGGATGGGGGAGCCGCCGGGGGTGTGTCCAGGGGGGGTCCTGCACCGGATCTCGCGGGCGCTTCTCCTGGGGCAGAAACGCACAAACTGTCAGTACCTGGGCAGGGGGGAGGCGAGGGTGGGGGTGCTGCCCAGGAGCCCCCTCCCTTCTGAAGCTTCCAGGGGACGGGGGGATGGAGCCAAAAAAAGAAAGGAGGAGAAACAGAAAAAAAACAGCCAACAAACCAAGAAATGAAACAAAAGGCAGCCAGGAAAGGCTGAGCAGCTCCTGAGCGTTCCCATCGCACGGCTGCTGCAAACAGCAGCGATTAGGGCTGATAACCAGTAATTACCGCAGGAAAATATTTAAAGAGCCGCTCCATTATCATCCCTAATCTAAAAATTATCCACTTCATGCCTCAGGGCTTTGTGCTTTTAGAGAAAAATCTGCTCTTCCTGAAGCCTCTGACACGCAGCGGTTTCGGAGGAAGACGTCTCCGGCCACCCGTGGGGTTTGGCTCCTGGGGTCCCTCCTGGGGTGCTGCTCTACCTGAGGGTGCCGCTGCCTCCGGAGCAGCCCGTTGTCTGTCCCCCACCACCCTCTGTGCTCCTCACCATGAAAAAGCGCAGGGCCGTCCCCCGATGGTCACGGAGACGTTGCTGCCAGCGTTGAGGTGGCTGCCTTCGATGGCGATCCAGGTGCCGCCGGAGAGGGGACCCCGGGCTGGGACCACGCGGGAGAAAGTGGGTGTCTGTCCAAGGAAAAGAGTCACCCCTGGGGTTAGATGGGCTGGGGATGGAAACCCGAGTCTCCAAGCAGCCCCGAGTGGCCACAAAGGACAGGGACGTGTAGGACAGTGGCAGGGCACGGTGCTGAGGGCCAGCAGTGCCAGCGGGGCTGCGGAGAGGCGAAGCAGTGTCAGAAATCCGAAGGGCGTGACCCAACACCTGCCATCCGGGGAAATGATGGCTGATTTCCCAACTCACCCAAACCCACCCGCCATCACCTGCCCCCGGCACGGGGCTTACCACGAAGGTGAAGCTCTTGGGGGACACGGCCCGGTAGCTGGGCGAGCAGTTGCGGATGCACACTTCCACCCGCGCCTCGTGGACCTTGCTGGGGCTGGCATCGCCGATTTCACACACGATCCTAAGGGATGCGGGGAAGGAGCCCTCAGTGTCCCAGCACTGAGATGCTCCCTGTGCCACAGCGGGGACGGATCAGCTTCAGGAAGGGACAGATCTGACACCATGTGAAGTTCCCAGGTGTCAGCAGGTTTGTGAGAAACCAAAGCAGTGGCCTTGCCTGGGGGGGAGCGCCCGAAAGCCTTTAGACTCCTCCCAGAGCAACCACAACCAGCAGGTACTTCTCTCCCAGTTCAACCCAGGTCGCCCCATGACTTCTGCAGCCACAGGCACCCCTTGTCCCCGACCTATCGAGGTGATCTGGAGCACGGCCACCCCTCGCCGGACACTTACTGCTCGGCGCTGATGTACTCGCTCTCGATGGGGATGCAGATCACTTTGCCGACTCGGACGCCCCAGCGAACGTCTTCAAACTTCAGGCCCAGGTTCTCGCCGGTGATGGTCAGACGGGTCCCTCCTTGCCTGGGGCCAGTCTCAGGGGACAGCTAGGAAAGAGCAGGGGCCATCAGCCGTGGGGACACCTCACTTGGACAGGCTGCAGCCCGGGCAGCCGCGGGATGTGTGTTACCCCCCTGCGAGCAGCGAGGAGCAGAAGGGTGATGATAAATGTCAGCGTGTCTGTAAGGAGCCCAGAGAGTGGGAAAGAGCTCCCAAATGACAGCCACATCCACAAATTCCCCCCAGGAACAAGCCAGGGGATGTGTCCAAGCAGAGAGTTGGGATTTGGACACCCTGCTGCAGACGGAGCAGGTGACAAGGACATGGGTAGGAAGGAGACAAGGCAGTGTCAGCCAGGGCTCCAGCCGGGCTGTCGAGGGAGGTCCCCACATCCAACATCTCAGAGAAGAAAGCATCTCCACTGGGTCCCTGCATGAGGCAGGCAGTGGGGAAAAGAGTTTCTCTCCGCTGGCAAACCCTGTGCCAAGCCCAACTAGGAAGGGAGAGGAGCTCACCCTGGCGCTACGCCTCATTTACCAGGATGATGCCCAATAAAGCAGACAGGTGTGGCCTGACAGACGGCAGTGGGATGAGGGATGAGCAGAGGTGTGGGCCCACCACTGCCTCCAACCAGGCAATTACAGGTAGATTTACACCATCCCCAGGGCCCAGAGCTCATCTGCAGCACTAACTGGGATGAATGAGGGAACTGGGGGGGTTCAGTCTGGAGAAGAGGAGGCTGAGGGGAGACCTCCTGGCCCTCGGCAACTCCCTGCCAGGAGGGGGCAGAGAGGGGGGATGAGTCTCTGGAGCCAAGGCCCCAGCGCCAGGCCCCGAGGGAATGGCCTCAAGCTGCCCAGGGCAGGGTCAGGCTGGCTCTGAGGAAGGATTTCTGTGCAGAAGGGGCTGTTGGGCGTTGGAATGGGCTGCCCAGGGCAGGGGGGAGTCCCCGGGATCCCTGGAGGGGTTGAAGAGTCGGGCTGAGCCAGCGCTGAGGGATCTGGGGGAGTTGGGAAGGGTCAGGGGGAGGTTCATGGTTGGGCTGGAGGAGCTGCAAGGGCTTTTCCAACCCGGATGGTTCTGTGAATGGCAGAGATGTGCGTCCTGGCTGAGACAGGGGACAGAGCTGGGTCCCTGGTGACGCCAAGACAGAGCAGGGGAAGAGGCAGCTGCAGGCAGCAGGTGAGGGAGAGAGTAATGCAGACTGGGTCGGTCCAGGAGGAAGGTGCATCCTGATCCAGGAAAAGGGACCGTTTTTCCCAGGTGATGCCCTCTGCTCGTGCTCCTGCTGGCAGAGATCCCCTCTAGCACTGGAGCGGCTCTGCCAGCGCCCAGCCCTGGGCAGGCTCTCGCTGTGGCCATACCCACACCACGACCAAGCTCTTTGCATTCCTGGCAAATATGGATGGCTGCAAACCTGGGGCCCGAGCCAGCTGGAGCCTCCTCCTCCTCCTTTTCCTCCTTTTCCCTGCACAAGGCTCACTCCTGGACATCACCCCCGCAGCAAGGAAAGGTGGATGAGCGGAGTCGGGGGAAACGCAGCATCAAGCACTGTCCACAGCCCCAGCCCCGATGGACTGCACGGGGCCAGGGGCTGGTTCTGCACAGTCCCGCTGCAGCCAGAGCGTCTGGGGTGAGCTCCGTCCTGGAGATCTGCCGGGGGGGGAATCACCTTCAGCACGCTCAAACAGGGGCAGCCCAGCCTGCCTGGGCCCAGGGACAGCATCAGAGCTGGGACCCGCACCTGCCGAGGCAGCCCCAACTCACAACTAACACGGCAACAAAACCCTGCGGGGCTGCGGGGAACCGCCGTTCGCCTAAACCCAGCCCAGCCCCTGCCCAAGTCCAAGATCAGAGCTCACTACGGCAGCTGCAGCCAGCATCAGGTTGGGTCTTCCCCCTAAATCAAGCTCCGCCAGCGTGGCTGGCAATGGGCGGCTGTTTGTTTGGTGTTTCTAAATGAGTGTTAAAAGCTGCTCCGGCATGTTCGATTCCTCCTCCTCTGCAGCAAAGCTGACAAGGGCCACGCGCTCGGGGAGAAACGAGCCCAGGAACGGAGTGACATCGCTGGCCGCCCAGCACGGGGAGGTCACGGCTAAACAAGGTGTGTGGGAGGAGGGAGCTGGAGAGGAGAGCGGGGGCTACTCGAGCCTCCCCCTTCCCCTCTCCACCTCCAAACCCCTGGCCCCGACAAACATCGCTGCTTTTCCGCTAATTGGTTTCTCAGGATCCTTTTACATCAACAAGCGAAAGGCCCAAGCAGTGGGTTTGTTCCCAGCTCCGGCAGCCGCAGCAGGGCCAGGAGGTGCCGAGGCTGAGGGGTTCCCCCATCCCAGGGGAGCGGATATCGCTCTGAGAGTCACAGCCAGCCCTGGGCAGGACCCTGCAGAGGTTTGGAGGGGGCTTGTCCCCGTCACCAAGCGATGGCTGAGCAGTTCTCCACGGGTAAAGAATGGGGGTCACCTCCCAGCCCAGCCCCACCACCCTGCAGCTGCACCTCGGTGGGCTGGGCAGGAAGGAGGCTCCAGCTCCTCCTGAAATCACCATTCCAGACCTTTCCCCCGCCACCCCGTGTGCCCTCTCTGCACCAGGCTGCTCTCTGGATGGTTCCCAAGCCCGCCCACAGCCCGGGGTGCAGGACAGGGGCTGTGGGAAGAAGCAGGCACCAGGCAGGCGGCTAGAGGAGCATCACACCAACGGCCAGGCACATCCCTGCCGCCTCCCAGGGCACCAACGCAGAGCAGCACCAAGGTCAAGCTCACCTGCTAACAGATCTGTTTCTGCTGCACCTGCAATTACTGCAAAATTTCCTACAGATTCAGGGCGGGAGAGTTGCTACTGAGGCTGGACACCATCAGCTGCTGGGAAGCTGCTGTGAGCGAGGTGTGTGGATGCCTGTAGCCGTGGCCACGTGAGCACAAGAGGACAGGGACCAGCCGACAGCGAGGCCACCCTGGGCACGGCCCAGGCACTGCCACCATCCCCAGGGGACCAGCTTTGGGAAGCTCAGCCTGAGCCACCAGGGACGGGGAGCCCCGCAGTCCCACACACAACAGCAGGCCTCCGTGTAGGGATGCAGGCGCTGGGGCTCGACCCCACTCCCCCAGGAGCAGACCCCTTCTCCTGCCAGCAGCCCACCAGCCCCAGGACGCTCTCTGCAGGCAGTATTTCCCACAGGCAGGGACGTGCCCTGTGCGGGGGCACCCCCCCTCCCTCCCCACACGGCTGCCACCCTGCACACTGCAGCGCCCGTGCCCTGTGAGAGGCAGGTGGTGCAGGGAAAACACACAACTCTCATTTCCAGCTTCCATCAGATAAGACACTGAGACCCAAACAGATCAGATCCTGCGCTAAGACTCCCGTAATTAGCACCAGCGAGGCCCGGCCAGCTGTGGGTAAACAGAAGGTATCCAGTAGAAATACCCACCTGTCCCTCCCCGTGCGCTTGGAGCCCGGCCTGACAGGCGCGTGAACATTAATATACACAATCTTATTAAGCGAAGGTCATAAAAGCTGTCAGGGAAGGGGGATGATGATGATGATGATGATGACGAACTACCAGCCCCGGTGAGCATGGTGACACGAGGAGGAGCAACACAGAGTCACGGCTTTCCCGGGATCCTCCGGTCACATGGAGGAGTGGTGGGAATCTCAGAGACGGGCCCCAAAGCCCAGGGCACGGGGGTGGTGGAGAGAGTGTTTCAGCCTTGGAAATGGAAGTAGCGACAAGAGATGCTCGGTCCTAAACGCCGAGCAGATGCGGCTGCTGTGAGGTGTCACCCGAGAGCCCCGTCCCCACCTCGGCGCCCCCGCCCAGCCCGGCCCCGTACCTTGGTGATCTTGGGGTCGGTGCAGCGGCTGTTGCCGCTGCTGGCGTGCATCCAGCTGCTCTCGTAGGCCAGGCAGTGCTGCCGCAGCAAGCAGCGCTTCTCCGACACGCACCAGCCGCACTCGAAGCGCGGGTCGGCCTTGAGGCACAGCCCGCAGCTCTCCCGCAGCGCCGAGCACTTGTACAGGTGGGCTGGAACGGGAGGGCGGGGGTCAGTGGGGCACAATGGTTTGGGGACAAGGCCATCGGCTCTCGCCCCCTCCCGTTGCCTGCCACCAGCTCCCCGGGGGACAAACCCCCACGAGCAGGAGGCACCAGCACCCCTGGGCTCTCTGCCAAAGCTTCTTGGAGAAAAGCCTCTTAGAAACCCGCCTGAGGGCTGCAGCCGGAGCATCCTTCACTCAGCGGGGTGGGCTGGAGGCTGCGGGGGGCACCCGGCTGCTTTCCCACCCCCTGGGCCCATCCCTACTCACCCTGGATGTTCTGGGGGTTGTCGATAACGAAGTTCCCGTTCCAGACCACGGACAAGTTGACTGGCAGGTCGCTGATGTCGTTCCCTTCGTAGAAATACTGCGGGAGGGGACAGAAGGAGGCAGAGCCCATTAATCGGCGAGGCGAAACGCCCCGGTGAGGGGCAGGGGGAGGTGGACGACCCCACGACATCAGAGGGGAGGGATGGGGGGCCGGTTCAGACTCGCTGGCTAGGAACAGACAGGGCTAACAGCCACTGCTCAAAGCACTGGACAAAGCACACGCAAACCAGTAGACTGGACCAGAAAAAAAAAAAAAAAAA